TGTCTTGTAGAATCTATCATATCTTGGAAGCTCAACAAAGTCGACTGTATCATTAAACGCATGTTTCCATCTACCATTTGTCGTTCCAGAGAGCAGCTCAAAGCCGCGCTCTACGATCGTCCGCAGGATGAGCTCATCGAAGATGGTGAAGAAGAATCGACTCCTCAACTGATTTGCCAACTTGCCGATGGAAAGGAATCGATCTTGACATACAGTGCGGCTACTAGCCTTTTGAATGACGTCTGCCAGCTGATTCCACCCGATGAATTCCTTCCAGTCGTTGCGCCGGAATATGAGATGATGGAATTAGGAGAACGGTTCAAATGTCGAGTGACGTTGCCCCCGATGGCTGCTCTCCCGCCTTCTCGGCGTACGTTCACTGGACTCGAAATGGGGACCAAGAACGGCGCCAAACGCTCGGCCGCCTTTGAAGCCTGCAAAGTCTTGCGAGAGCTGGGCGTCCTAAATGAACATTTCCTTCCCCAGCGAGAAGATAAGGCTGCTCAGGTCCGTGATGCGGATGGTAGAGAAATTGAAACCACCCAACTCGCAGATAAGGTCGAAGCTATTATATCTAACATCTACGGCGATTTTCGGACCTCCTCCGAAGTCTGGCTCCACAAACTCTCTTTCCCGGATGATAGTCCAGCCGGATTCTCAACGATGGGACTTCTATGTGCTCGTCACCTCACTATTCCAGATGACTTGCAGCTATTCGATCACGACCCAGTCAGCAGACCACTATCCGTCAAAATTAAACACAGCAAAAAAGTTGAATGGGAGCAGGATGATGCGCCCTTCAATTTGCAGAGGTTAGAGAGATTTACTCTACTGGTGATGCAAGTTGCCGTCAATCGAAAGCCCTACGAAGGAAAGCTGTATTTCCTTGTCGCTCCTCTCCTCAATGATGCCATTGAAATCGACTGGAATCTTGTGGACACTCCGATGATCCCGCTTTCAGAAGCTGCCGACAGTTCACGTTACCAATGTACAATCGTGCCGTCCCGACGCCCCCGTTTCAGAATATTCGATACATGTGAATCGGCTGGTGATCTATGTGCCGCCTCACCACCTTCGCGGGTACCTGCTTGTCCGAGCATGCAGCACTTTTGTAAAAAGATCGCGAAATTCCACAATCTGGGTCACTTTTATAAGACTTGTTACGACTTGGAAGACGAGCATTTGAAGGGAGACTTTGTCTATCTTCAAACTACCTTTCAGGTCTATAATAATCTCTTGCAGTCCGTATCAACTCTGGCCCATCCTTATCGAACCCTATTACCGTTGAAGCTCTGTCAAGGAACACACATCCCACGAACGATTTGGAAAGTATTCAGTTACTTACCATCGCTGACTCGTCTTTTGCACGATTCGATCCAGGCGACTGCTCTCTTCATGCGATTGGATTTTCCAATGACTTTGCTACCACGTGGAATCCAAGCACTCACTCCACCTGGTGTTGGTGTTCCTTGGGACTACCAAACCCTTGAGACCGTGGGTGATGCGTTCCTCAAGCTAGCCACCTCGGTCCACGTCTATCTGAGTCACCTTCGAAAGGGAGAAGGCGATATGAGTCACGTGCGATCCAAATCGGTTGATAACGACTACCTCCGGCGGAAAGCGATCCAGGCGAATCTACCCAGCTCAATCCTCGGCCAACGCTTTCGCACAGACAGATTCAGAGATGCCCAAACAGAAGACGGCAAGGAGCTCCCCAACGGGAATTTCTCGAGAAATGTGCCGAGGCGGGTTTTGTCCGACGTTGTTGAGGCCCTGTTGGGCGCTGGTTTTCTCACTGGCGGTATCGAACTTGGCTTGAAAATCGGAACGGCCCTGGATCTTTGCTTTGGAGGTACCACACCCTGGAACGAAAGAACGTTAAATATCGCTTTTGAGGGCACCGCTCATGACAAACTCGCATCATCAATCCTCCTTAAATGCCAAGCGCTCGAAGAGAAGATTGGCTACGTTTTCAAAGAGAAATTATTGTTAGTTCAGGCTCTAACTCACCGTAGCGCCAACTCATTCATGACGAACTGTTACGAGAGAGAGGAATGGCTGGGAGATGCAGTGGTCGACATGTGGATCGTCCAGCATGCCTACAAACGCTTCGACAACGCGACTGCGGAAGAACTGACTCTTGCCCGAGCCAAGTTGGTTTCTAATGGTAGTCTGGGCTTCTTGGCAATCAAAAAACTAGGTCTGCATAAAGTGATCATGCACAAATCTGAGAGCTTCGAACAAGCCTGTGTGGAGGCCATCAAAGCCATCGAACCTTTTACCTCGATCGAGGAATTCTTTTCAAACCTAGAGAATCTCTTCGTGGTCTTTGATCCGCCGAAGATATTAAACGACGTCTTGGAAGCCATCGTCGGTGCGGTGTTCATTGATAGCCGCTTCGACCTTCCGACTGTCTATCGAACCATCGACAAAATCTTCGAGGATGTCACCCCAGGCTTGTCGCGGATCGTTGCTCGCGACCCCTTGTCCACAATGTTGAGACTCCGTGACCAATACCAATGCGCAGAGTTGCGTCGAGTATCGTAAGGCCCTTTTCTCTCATCGATCTCATTGGCAAACACACGCCAAGTTCGGCAGGAAAAAACCAAGCGCTAATATTTTTCTCTGTTCTTACTTGGTTTCTGTTTTCTCACCGAAAGAACGACAATCAAGGAGCCCAATCCAGAAGGAGAGGACAAGGACCCAATTTCGGTGAGGGTCTGTCGGATCGAGTTACACGGCCAAGAGATCGCGAGTGGCCGACATGCGAGTTCCGCAAGTGTGGCCGAACAGAGGGCCTCACTTGCAGCCCTGAAAGTTCTTCAGGACCCATCTGGCGACAGTCCCGCACCAAAATCTGCGTGGTTGGGATGTCAATGCAAGGCGCGGGCCGTGTCCACAACAGCGGTGGCCTCCTCAACCCCAGCTGCTGAAAACAAGGTAAAAGGGTCTCTCTCACTCACTGTGCAAACCGGAATAGACTGTTAAGGCCTGTGATATTGATGGGATTACTGAGAATCTTGGTGATGTTCATTTCCCTGCTCAGGAGGAAATCCAGAAAGAGGAAGGCAGCCATGCTTCTCAGGATCTCCCCAGACAAATGAGCCACCTCCACATGTGAAACCAAAAGGACTGTTGTGTGGCCCAGAGCTGATGCAGAATAGCATGGACATGTTGAAAACCCTTCTTGGTTATTTACTCTCATTTGTTGATCTCCTTGGACACAGGCAACATCAACTAGACTGATGACAAGAGTTTTTTCCTGTGAAAAGTGTTACTGATATCTGTAAGATTTAACAGGCTAATGATAGTTTTTTAAAATACAATATTGATCAAAATAATAACACCAGAAAGGGTTTTTGTGCACCCACCAGAAGAGTTGCAAATCAATCAAGCAAATTATAAGCATGTCCAGCACGGTGGTATAGCTAGAAGAAAAGAGAATTTGCGTTGACATTTCTACCTGGGCCCAAAAGAGGGTCCTTTCATTCATTTTTCCTTCACATCCCAATTTAATGTTGCTGTGAGCTGTTAGGCCCTTGAATCAAGCCCCCCTTTTTCACAGTTGTATTACTTCTGTCACCATCTGAAATGCAAGCATCACTTAGTTGCAAGCCCATGGTGGTGAGACCTGCTTCACTGGAGAGGTCTTTTCTTCTGTCCTCCTCACCCATACAGCCCTCCTAGCTTAAGAGAACCTCTCCCCTAGAGATCGTTCGTCCGTACTTTTTGCAGGTACCTGGTACCTCCTGGGGGGTACCCCTCGCACCCGCCCCGCACCCGCCAGGAGGTGCCAGGTGCGGTACTTGGTACCTATTTTTGTGAAAAATTGAACAGGTACCTAGGTACCTCTACAGGTACCCCCTCACTTCCCTACCAAAAATCAAAATGATGGTGGCCTTCTACTCCAAGAACTCCAAGATCCAAGAAGGTACCTTGGCTGCATGGAAACAGGGACTCAAGGATAACAAGAAGTCTAACAAAAAATCAAAAAGGAAGGTGATGGTTTTGGATGACAATGAAGATTCTTCCAATTAGTTTCAAGTTTTAGATAGTTTAAACTTTGCAATAAATTATTAAATATGAACAAATGAAAAAAGTGACTTGGGACTGATGTTTTACAATAAATATGAAAAAGATAGAAAAGTAATATTCTTCCAATTAGATGTAGATATATTACAACAGATATTAAAAAATGCCAAAAAAGTGACTTTTGAGTGATATTTTAAAATAAATATGAAAAAATAATAATAATAATAAAGTGACTTGGGACTCTGGGAGTGAAACTAGGTGAAAAGGAGAGGGGGGGTACCTGAGGTACCTGCAACAGGTACCTTGGGTACCCCCCAGGAGGTGTCTGGTGTGGTACATGGTATCTATTTTCTTGAAAAAATGAACAGGTACCTAGGTCCGAACGAACGATCTCTACTCTCCCCCTTAGTGCTGTTTATGTCACCCTTACTAGCCTGGACGAGGTGCCAAGGTACACCTGTCCAGCACCTTGGTACACATTTTTTTGTGTCATCAAAATGGGGATCAGCATTCAGGAGCCTTGCCCTGGAACACTGCAACCATCCCAGCCAAAAGGCTCACATTCTTGGCGGTTTTGCTTGGTGTGCACCTGTTTGTTGGATTCTTAAGACTTGTACATTAATGGCTCAAAGACATTGTGATATCAAAACCCCCTTGATTCAGGAGGGTATGACAAATGAAATATCTACATCCAATAAGATAAGTAGGCCTACATGGCACAACCAGAGGCCCTGCTCAGATTGGGTTCAAAGTGTTGAATTTTGTTGAAATCTGAGCACCATGTGCTCAATCTTGGTTCCTGTTGTAGCAAATTACATAATATTAGATAAAACATTATGTATCACTACACAACGTCATGAATACCATTCACAACTGTCTCAACAAATAATCCTGATGTCACTTTGTTTTCTCACCATTAGCATTTTCTTCACATTGTCTCTTTACATAATCATGTAGTATAAATAAGCATGTATTTCTCTACAAGATTATGGTCTTGCAAGCGCGTCTGGGCACAAACCAAAGCCCCGCTTGGCCGAGCGCCACCAGGGGTTTGGTTTGTGCCCAGAGGGCTTGATCATCTCAATTCTGAGGGGGGCGGGACTTGGCACATAGCCAAGCCCCACTGGGCCGATTTCAAGCCCTGGGCACATAGGATCATTGACTCGTCAACCAAGACCCAGCTTGGACAACACACCACCACCACCACCAGATTCACAGTGGCTGGCTTCCAATCAAAGGAAAAACATGAGTGGTTGAAATGCAAGGCTCCTGTGTACCAGTCCCAATCATTGAGCAAAATCCGCTTTTTGGGGTTGAAGATTCTGATGTTCTCCTCAAAGTACATCCTTAATCAAGCTGTGGTTTGAGTCCGACCTGCTCGGCAAGGAGACCAACAAAAACAATCATGTGAGTAAAACGATATTATGAGTGTCGGTGCGACCATCCAACACCATCTCAAGTTTCTGATTGATTCCGGTTTTAAAATCTACCCGGCTGCCGTTCAGGCTAGAGATGGGCCTAGTTGGAGGATGCGATCTTGCCGATCAGCCCTCCTTCCTCATAGCTGACTGACTTGATCTTGGTGCATCAATTTTTTGGGGGCGTGGCACCCTCGCTTGATTTCGGCCGAGCAAGGCTTTGCTCCAACCCCCACCAACTTTGAGATGTGCCAAGCAGGGGTTGGGAGGGTGCCACAAGGGCTTTACGATTGGCCAAGCACGCTTTAAGATTGGCCCAGCGCGCTTGGCCTTTTTTTGGCCGAATTTTGGTGTGTGCCCAGACGGGCTTGCAACACCATATGTCTCTTTCCTCTGTGCAATCTACTTCTTAGCTTTGTTTACTCGTGCCTCTTTATTTCCCTCCAGACTGGATCAAAGCAAGACAAATGACATCATCATTCATCTCTCACCAACCAAGAATTCTTGTTACCAATGCAGACATCCTGCATTGGCCGCTTCAACCTTAGTACTTAAAACTTTCTCTCTTGCTCAAATCATTCCTTTTTCTTTTCCCTTGTGGAACCTCAAGGTCATTTATCTAGACCTTATGTCTTAATTGTCACAACATGTTATCTCTTATACTATTATATGCAAACACTTTGGTTCCTCCGCTTGACAAAGCTTAAAAGTCAAAGTTTCCTGACTCATATTATCTTCCTCAGTACATCATATCTCTTCATTGCTATAGCACTTCCCTTCCTATCAACTTCTTTGCCGACAGACCTTGTTATCTCCTTTCCTTTTGATTCATTGCCAATCATGCAGAAAGTCCTCTGGTCTTTTTGCTATAGTAGGTCATGTTAGAATTCAATTCCTAAGTCTAGCCCTTGGAAGAGGAGAGCCTTGGGTAAGTTATACTTTAATGTATAAACTTCCTAGAACAAAAACTTGTGCTGATCATTAATGTTTGATCATGTACAGAGATAAGCCATTCTGCAGATGATCATGCACTTGCCAAGCTTAAAGCTTGTGATTCAGGAGATGACATCAATGATGTCATAACTCCAGATGATGAAAATGATCAATCATCAAACTCCAAGTGAGTGTTGAGGATTGTGATCATCAGAAAAGGAACATATGATTGTTGACCATTCCATCTTCCTCCTCAAAATTCATCATCTTTGGTTCACATCAAATCTCCTCAAGTTATACATAACTTATCAATTGTATCTCTCCACCTAAGACTGGTGAGTAAGACCCTTTCCTTATAGTTAAGGAAAGAGAAAATTGAGCAATAAAACATTAATTAATCTTTTCTGCTTTGTATAATAATTAGAAATATTAAACAAAAGCCAACTTTTGTATTGAAATTATCTTTACTAGATCTATTGATCTAATCTTTGTAAAGTAATTCTCTTATCAAGCAGTTGATATTAAGAAAGAAATAATAGATTGAATAAAAACTAATTAAGTTTGTCTTCTGATTATTAGCTCATTGCATGACAAACTATTATCTTCTATCCTGTTATAAGTGCTATTACCCTTGTAGACTTCTATTCTGCCTTTAGGTAATAACTTAACTTTTCTTTCTCTTTTATTAATAAAACTATTCAATTGTATTTTCTTCATAAAATCTTTTACTGATAAAGAAATAAAACCTTTAGTTTTGAAATTCTTTCAGGTCATATACAACTTGTTTCTCTTCTGATGTTCTCATGCAGACATTGACATCAATCACGCTCTCTTGGGTTCTACTTCTTTTGTCTTTCGAACCATCATCTTGTTGTTTTGTTTCTCTCCCATTGTCGTTTGCCTTCACATAATATGATTCTTTTATTCATCCATTGTACTTCTTATTCATTTAAAACTCATAAGAAATATATCCTTCAGTTTGGCCATTCACAAATTTTTGGTGAAAAATGCCCAAGAAAGATACTGTTTTAGGCTCTTGCTGAGAGGGCTCAAGTGCTTGCAGACAAGAATGAAGAAGGGCTCAAGTGCTCCTTCAGGAACAATTTAAAAGGATAAAGAACTAATCAAGGACTTCCCGTCACAATTTAGAATGCTTTTTAGACCTCCCTCAGTCCTAAATTAACAACAAGATTAAGATTTCAACCAGTTCATATGAGAGCTGTCTCTGGAAGGCTTTGGAAAAAATATTTTTATGATGAAAAAAATAGATCTAAGGGGTGTAAATTGACTTCTGGGAGGTTCATAGATTGCGACGGGAAGTCATTCAATGGTTTTCTTTTATTTCTTAGTATCTAGGATTCTAGTGCCACAAAAAGTGATGAGTTGTGGGAGCTAAGGACAATGCATATTGAATAAAAATAACAAACCAGTCTTGAAAAAAAATGAGCAACAACTGTAAAAAAAGAAAGAGAATGAGTGAAATTTTAACACAAAGAATAAAAGCTAGGGGAGAAATTTTATAGCTGAAAGAGACAAGTACTCAGGCTCTAGTGGAGGGGGTATTGTGGCAATGAGAGACTAGTAGATCCATGTGAATCTATCATTGATAGATTGTAAAATTAAGTCAAATTTGAAAGGATAGCAGTGGATTTGTTTTGGGATGAGTGGACTAGAGATCAACATTCCAACACTTTTCAAAAGTAGACTGTAGTGCCAATGATCCTACTAGTTACAACACTCTTGATAGCAGAAGCACATTATTCTAGTAACAGCAGAAATCAATTTCACACTAGAAAAAAAAACACTCAACTAATTATTCTAGTAAATGAGAAATTCATTTTGGGAACTACTGAGGGCGCGTACCATAGCCGCCCGTGGACTGCCAATTTCCAATTTTGTTGGCAGTAAACGTTTTTGACCAAAAACGCGCACCACATGGGTCAATTTATTTGATGACTCACCTAATTGTTTTTTCACATTCACTGCCGTTTGAGGAAACGGCCCCACCCCCGTTTGGAGAAACACTTCATCTGGCATTCTCCAGCCTTCTCGTTACCGATGCCAAATCATCATACACACTCTACACATGATTGATTGTACCCTTTCTCCAATATCACCGTTCTGAGGATCTACTACCACCTCTACTATGTATATTGACCCAAACACAAGACTTGCAACTGATCGGATTCAGTATCATAAAAAACATGTCTCTTCATTTGTAGTCTGCTTGGTTGATCAAGCAACTTTTTTCCAGCTTGATCGACTGAAGTCCAAACCACCACTTGCTTTTCATCTTTGTGAAGAACGACATTGAAAACATGTCTGTTCTTCTTGAGGAACAATAAGCAAAAAGATAAGAAGAAAGAGCACAGAAAAGGTACAATCGATCAATAGAATTAATGCAAAAAAGATCAACAAGAAGAAAGAACACAAGAAAGTACAATCAATCGATAGAATGCACATTAGACCCATAAGTAAAAGGAGTGCTATGTATAAAGCTGGCTTTGAATCAACTGTGTGTCAACCACACAAGAACTTCACTGCTGTTTAACCGGTGGAGTTGGTGTAGTGAGTAGCTGCTGATGACCTGTTGGTTCCTGAGCATTTGAGATGTGCTGAGGAATACATGGCTTGGATTGAGATGAAGCGCAATTGGTGAGCGGTGAAAAACTGTGTTTGTCTGGTACACATTTTCCGACAAGGTGATTTTTGATTCCGTTTTAAAAAAAGCCCAAAAAAGAAAACTGTTCCAAATCGTTTTTCACAGTGGGAAGCGCTGTGGTACGGGCCCTGAATACATTGAATCAAAGCTGTGACTCTGGAGTCTTACACATCTTTCCCATTGGCTAATCTTTGTGCACCAAGAAATGAAATTTGGGAGTCCCAAGCTGATTGAATGAGCATTGTTTTTTTGGCACTAACAAAGGAGAAGAATAAGTAGTCAGACCTGTGGGGAAATCCCAATGGGTATATGTGCTCATCATCATTTGAGAAGTATTCAATTACTGCTCCTCACATCATGGACCTCAAGGAACTTCCTATAAGCTCACAAAATCCTTTTTAATTGTTTCTTTTTTGTAGGTTGTTCTTGATCTTGATCAACTAAGTGGAGGCAGGAAAAAGAAGAGAATGAAACAAGAAAATAAATGTGTGAGGTCTGGCAACACTTTAAAAAGGGGGAGGATTGTTGTTTGAAAGGTTGAGCTATATCTAGCTACAAGTCCAGCAGAGCTTGGCCAGATCAAATTCATTCTACATAACAAGTTGACCTGATTCTTGAACCTTCTCTTGCAATCATCTAGCTATCATTGCTTCACATCACCCTTATTCTTTTCTCCCAACCAACTCTCACTCAGCTTAGAATATACCAGCAAGTAGTACAGTATATTGTTACTGCCCCCAGGGACGACATATTTCTTCAATGCATTTTGACTTGTGAGCAATTAGCTTGGCCATCATCGGCAGCGGAGGTTGGCACTGCAGCAAGTCTGGATGTTCCTGGGCACCCACGACTAGGGTTCTGATCAGGACCCCGCAGATCCGGCAAGATCCGGAAAACCCGTAAGCCGGATCAGGGCTTGGGATTGACCCAGAGAGATCCGGCATCCGGTCGGATGCTGAAAACCCCCAGAAGTCGGGGATTTGTGGGGATTACCCGCATCAAACCCGTGCGGTGGCCTAGCTGCTGCCCTCAGCTCCAACTTTCCCGCCCTGAAAGGCTGAACCCCCTTTTTTCACACCAGAATACATAGCAAAAAAGCATAAAGAAAAAATTATCCTAGAGATCCAGAGAAACCCGGCTAGGGGCCGGATATCCGCGGGGTCAGGGTTCGGGATGCACAGAATCCGGCTCCGAGGCACCGGGTCGGAACCCTACCCACGACAACCGATCGGAAGTCCAAGGAATGTTTTCTACATACAGCATACATCCGATTAGACGCTCTCGTGCCACTAGATTTGTGGGCCTGGATGGTGCCGATTGTGATCTCAGTTAACTTGCCAGGCTGTTTTATATT